ATAAATAAATAAATAAATCTTAAAAAAATATATAGATGGAAAGTTGAACAAAGCCAGGTCGGTAGGCATTTAACCTATAGTTCTCTTGGTTTCAGTACCAAGAAGGTTCAGGTTGGACTCTTTCTAATGGCTGAAGCTATAAAATAGAAAACTCAGAAGTTCTCAGGGGCCACATTTTCAGCCACAAGAAGAAAGTTTGCATGCAATGAAAGAGAAAGAAAGAGAGAGAGAATGTGGGGTGCAGAATGCAGCAGAAAAGACAGATGGGCATCCTTACAGGACTTGTGTGGCTGGTTCCTGTTGTTCTAAGATTTGGTTGCACCCCTGAACTTCCTGAGGGCTGGATGTTTTAATCTCTATCACATGCTGTGAGATAACCTGAGATCTTTCCAGAAAAAAACCATTCCATTCGGGCTGGCTCAAGCCGGGATTCTGTGATTTTCAACTAACAGAATCTTAACCTTCTGTAAAACAGCATTCTATAAATACAAAAATAAATGAAAACACACGTTTTCTCCTCTATTGTACACTTTAAAATATTTTAAAACTCAAGATTTCCAAATTCAGTTGGGCATGTTGTAGGAGGGGCCTTGGGGAAAACAGTAAGAAATATCTGGGCACTTTGAACACATCCTTAATAAGCCTCACAAAGACTTTGTATTGCAGTGTTAATAAACTCAATTTACCAAGGAGAGTATAGGATAGAAATTCATTGCTTATGGTTACTTAAAAAAAATGATATATTTCTGAAAGAGAAAAAGAATGCTTCAGTAAAGGAAAGTCTAATATTCCTAAAATGAGAAGAAAAAAATGAATGGGTGCTTCCAGCTTGGTTCATTTTGGTTCAATACATACTATGATTAGAAAAACTCATCTGTAAAGCTGACACTCAAAATAAAAGATGCATAACCCCAATGTGCTTATTTAACAAGGGCAGTTTTATGAGTATAATTTCCATATTCTTTAATCAGTTTATGCAAACCGGTGCTTTGTTTCTTTTTCTCCCTACTTGGCATAAACTGAGCACTGCAGGCATGACTCAGGAAGAGAAGAGTGGAGGGGCTACCAAAGTAAGAAAAGTTCATTAAGAGTGAGAACCCTGTCACAATCTTAGGGGGAAGGCCCTCAATTCAAATTGTTAGGAGATAAGCACCCTGAATTCCTATCTCCTAAAATTCTAATGCTATTTCATATGCAACTGGATCTGGATGGATGTGCTTTCTCTAGATGCACACTGCTTAAGAAAGAAAGCCTTCAGCATGATCGGGACACTTTCCTTCACCTTGATTATTGTTACCTTTGACCAGATATTGCAAAATGCAATGACCTTTAACCAGCCTTGTGACTATCCTAATGATGTTTAACCAAAAATTGTTCTCATGGCTAATCTACAAAATACACCCACCAAGAGTCAACCCAGGTTTGCCTTCTTGAAGGCTTTCCTCTTACCAAAATATTGAAATTAAACTTTGACATGTACTCACAATTGTATCTGAGATGTTGCTTTAATGTTTTATTTCCCCTGTTTAATAAGTGAAGAAAGTAAGACAAGACGAGGGTAAATAACTTGCCCAAATATGAAGTGACAGAGCCAGGAACATGAGCTATGCTACCTGTCACTGAAGCCTGTATTCCCAAGCACCATGCATACTCTCTCTACCAAATGCCAGATGATTCACCTCCTTAAAAGTGAACTCTCAGCATGCATTAAGGCACAACTTCTGCAAAGAGTGGGATGGACGGGGGCTTCACATAGTTACCCACTTATTCCAGAAATTCATTAGCAAACTTGGAGCTGTGAGGTTGGAGCTTTTAAAGATATTTTTGGTGGCTAAAGAGGTATTAATGATAGTGACAAATGGGTTAATTGGCAATAAATACACCTGAACTAGAGAATAAAGGATATATTTATTATATAATTAGCATAATGACATATAATTCATCCTGCAAATTCTATAAATTCAGTGATGAAGAGTGGGGAAAGAGATTTTGATTCTATTTTCAATCCCTTTTCATGACCAAATTGTTGAATTCTTAAAACAAGAAAAGCTACTGCTAAGAGAGCCCTTGTCCCTGCTCTACTCTTGCTTTGATTTCTTTTCTTTTGTCTTTTTATCTTTTTTTTTTTTTCAGATGACAGAAACTTCCTTTACATTTCTTAAGCTTCCATGAGTTAATGTGATTGTTTCCAGTCTGCCTGCTTTCAGTAGAAAGAATATATAAGTTATCCCAAGCTAGACAAAGCTATTTAACCGATCCAAAAATTGATGGCATAATGTTTAAAATAAACTTCATAATTGTATAATTCTACAAATAGAGAAAAATGAAGAAGCAAATCAAGGTCTATTAAGCAAAATGGAAAATAAATTCAGGATTCAAAGCTGACCTTTGAATGCAGGGCTACGGGCTTCATGTCCAGCCCACCAGGATGTCCTGGAGCCCTTGACCATGCACCCATATGTACACAGCACTCATCAACAAGGATCAAGCTCATATCTCCATCACTTAGCATAGTCAGTGTCCTCTTTAGACATAAAATTTTTAATCCTCCAAATTTCTGAATTCAGTATCAAAAGTTTATGATAATCAAAACCTTAGAATTAATGTTTGGGGGGTT